TATATTCAGTGCCAGTCTCGGAGGGCTCGGTCCAAAGAGAACTGACATTCAGTATGATTAAGTTGGTGCTATCTGAAGCGCCTTTTTCTCTCTTACTGCAACGAACTACTTCCTCTGCGCCGTACCCAGCTGTATATCCTCATTTGCCTCTGATTGAAGCGTGCATACTGTAGACGTCCCTCCGCTGTTCCCCGGGGGGAACGGGGAGAGAGAGAGAGACAGGCGGAGGAGAGAGACGGGCGGGGAGGTAGGGACTGAGAGTGGGAGGGAGGAGAAGAGATAGAGTTATCCGTGGTCTCATTACGGTGGGAAATGTGAGGGTCCCGATCCAAGGGAATGATGAAGGACTCTGTGGAGGAGGCCTCTGAGAACCAACAAAGACGGCTTTAGTTTCACTGGCAGAATGCATTTGCATAGCTTAGAAGCCAAAGCGACTGAACCGGGGCTCATGAAAAGAAACCCCAGCAATTGCTTGGACTTCAATGCAAACGAGAGCGAGCGAGAGACAGAGAGGGAGGCAGAGAGACAGAGAGGGAGAAGTGGGATGGCAGAGAAAGCAGTAGGAACTTTTTCTCTTTAGTAGCATAACACAAAGCGAGATCAGGAACATCTGCACATCCCATGGAGGTTGTCACCGACTGACTTTGATGCAAAGGGAACATACTGAAGGCGGTACATCTCCAGATAAAGTAACAAGCAGGAAAAAAAAAAACACATTTCCATGCTATCATAAGTGTCATGTTCCATTGTGTCATTTGATATTATTATTTAGGGCAGTATGGGTGTCAGCAGCATTAGAGGTAATTTGCCAGTTGAGGATGTTCAGCAGGTTTGTATGTCCATTTGGTACAAAAGAAGAGCAGCTACTGGCCTTTTGGAGCTCCGGAGAGCAACGCAGAGATGAGCAGAGGTCGAGATAATAGAGCAATCTCCTGGTGGAGGGTGTGTGTGTGTGTGTGTGTGGTGAAAGTGATGAGAATAGAGAGACACACTCTGAGGAAAGGAGGAGGGGGAAAAAAAGAGGAGAGAAAGAGTGGAGCAGATGTTGTACTTTAGTGGTGTCTCTCTTTTTCCCTCTGTGGCCTGGAGTCATGGAGGGATGACTAGCCTTCATCAATCCTCTTTAATGACTCTGGCAGCACCACTTAACGCACTAGTATGTGATTTCTTCATTACCACATCATGATTCCACCATTTAGTCGGCGGCGATGACGTATGCCGATGCTCGCGGATAAAGAATAATCTTTGAAAGTCTCCTTTTTTGCAAACTGTGCCATTCGTCTGCTCTTGGGTCAATTTGGAAATCTGCGAAGGAAAGTGATAGCTCAGGCTTTGAACGCAACAAAAAAAGAAACAGAATAGAGTGGTAAAAATATGAATAGCTATTATTGAAATGGATTTGACTGTGGAAAAAAAAAGACTATCCAGCACAATATGATACCTCGATTTCAAAGATATGACCAGAGCAAAGAATTCAGGCCTTGCCCTCTATAAAAACCTGTTGTGAAAGTCTACCACTTCAAAGTTACTGGCACCATTATGTGTTATCCTCTCACAGCCCTCATTTTATTCAGTCACACACCCGCTGCCTTTCACCTGTGGTGCACAATACTCCATTCCATTTCACCGACCCACCCACCTCTCCTTCATGTGTCAGAACCTTCAGTGAGTACAGTGGGAGGCAACATAACATGCATGCTAATGTTTTGCCACTATCAATAATAAATGCTGACTTTTGAACCTTGCTGATGAATTTTCATTCAGACCACCTCCCTGCAGATGTGCAGGACTCTTCAGCAACCCAATCGCCACATTATATGTTGGCATTGCACGTTTCTGCAAACCACAGATAAGTTGCATTAGCAGGTTATTATGTAGCTGTTACGTTGAAACTTCCAACAACACTGTGGTTGACTTTAGGCACATTTAGGCACAAAAAACACTTGGCTAAGGTTGGGAAAAGATCATGTTTTGGCTGAAAATACCCAGTTAGAGGAGCACAACTGTGGCAAGAAATGCAGTGATGTCTCTGTAAAAAAACAACCACTTTTTATGCCACGATCCTGCCAGGAAAAGACAGTGTATCTCATTTAAAACAACTCCTTTTTATGTCACGATCCTGCCAGGAAAAGACAGTGTATCTCATTTAAAACAACTCCTTTTTATGCCACAATAATGGCAGGAAAAGCAGCGATAACTTGGTAAAAAACATTCCTTTTTTGTGCCAATATTCCAGCAAGAAAAACAGTGATATCTCGGTAAAAAAACACCTGCTTTTCATGCCACTTTCCTGGCAGGAAAGCAGTGATGTCTCAGTGGAAAACAACTGCTTGTAATGCCACTATCCCAATAGGAAAAGCAGTGCATCTGTCTAAAAATCACCTGCATTTCATGCCCCTATCCTGCCAGGAGAGCAGTGATGTCTCAATAGAAAACCAACCGCTTTTTGTGCTACTATGCCAGAAGGAAAGCAGCGATGTCTCAGTGGAAAACAACTGCTTGTAATGCCACTATCGTCGCAGGAAAAGCAGCAATATCTCGGTAAAAAACATTCCTCTTTTGTGCCAATATTCCAGCAAGAAAAGCAGTGATGTCTCTGTAAAAACAATCACTTTTACTGCTACTATCCTGGCAAGAAAAACAGTGATATCTCAGTAAAAAAAACACCTGCTTTTCATGCCACATTCCTGGCAGGAAAGCAGTGATGTCTCGGTGGAAAACAACTGCTTGTAATGCCACTATCCCAATAGGAAAAGCAGTGTATCTGGCTAAAAATCACCTGCATTTCATGCCCCTATCCTGGCAGGAGAGCAGTGATGTCTCGGTAAAAAGCACCCAGATTTGGTGTCTAAAAATCAGCTGAAAACACAGGTATGAATCGGATTGGTCTGCCGCTTGCAGGCGTCTCGTCTAGGTGTCACACCATCCACTGTCCCCTCCACCTCCAGATGACAAAGTCAGCTAATATACTATGTCACTTCAGAAACGCTGCAATAATACACATGAAAAGTGCAAACGTAAAGTATTCATGGTTTGCAGAAACATACATCACCAACATTTTCCTTCAGTGACTGGGCTGGCTCTAAACATGAGGAATATACAGGACTGAACCAATGGCTTCTCTACATTTAGAGGAATGTGATACACAAAGTTTGAACACACAAACTAATATCTATGTATCTGCCTCTCTATCTAAGCCCTTTTCCTTTGCAGTAGCAGAATATACAGCAGCAGCATCAAAACAGCAGGACATATGTAAATCCTAGCTAACGCACACTTACTGTAGAAAAGGTGAAACACATAGTGATGGTAAAAAGTAGCGGGGGGTTTTCTGGCTGCACAACATCCATGCAAATACACAGGCACAAACAGTTAAGTGCTCAAACAACTGCATCTGCTACATCCCCCCGTCTCCTCTGCTGCTGCTATAAGCCCACTAGTCAACACACACCTCTATGGAAACACCACATTGAGCATTATGGGATATGATTCCTTCTAATGAGCTTGCACCCTCATCTGCACGCACACTCTGTCGCATGGACAGCTCGCTCACACTAAGACTCGGCGGCTTTGATCTGACATTCATGTGATCAGTTTTGATGGTTAGCGTCATGCCTGTCTCCCCTGAATATATGTATATCTCACAGAGGCCAATGTGGTAGATACTGAATCAAGCAGCCGCAATGATTTCTCGAGACATCAATGTTTGATGAGAGGTAGGCCCTCGGGCTTTAATGCGTAACTGGAGGAATTCACTAACTCCAAACAACAACCCCCACGTAGAAATCTTCCACCGCCTAATGAGTGCTTAGAGGTTTGGTAAAATCACTGAGCGTACGCTACGCATTTTTAGACACTGAAAAAATATCTCTGCAACAGGTGTTAGAAGGAGAAAATGTGGTAATATGATTAAGTTTGCACATATGAGCAGTCATGCAACAGCTGCTGTGATTTATTATCTTATTCACCACCTCCCTGTGGAGCAATAGAATAGATAAAATCCTGGCGCGCCATTGGTCAGGTGCAGCACCATGACTGTTCTTGTCATGCTCACAGTAACCTTTCATTGCTACATCATCTCTGCACACACACACACACACACTCACACTCACACTATGGCGACAATCTTTTTTTAGTGCTTGGCAACAGCCTCTGAAACACACCATCCCACATCTCTACTTGACCTCGCATTCTCCCCGCGCAACCTCTGCTTTGGTAAGAGCCGCTGTCACCGCCGACAGGTCAGGGCTGTGCACCTCGAGGTTTCCTCCATGTCCCAATGTTAGCGCACATGAATCATTATTTCCTCACAGTGCTGCTGCTGCTGCTGCTAGGATGACGATTCATGTGCCACTGGTTGCACAAGCAGACAGGGTAAGAGACAGAAATGTGTGCTCATTGTTAAGTGGATGAGTGTGTGAGTGTGTGTGTGTGTGTGGCAGGGAGAAGACAGAGACAGACTCAAACAGACAGACATAAGGAAGAGGTAGGCAGATAGAGACACCACGCATGAAAATAATTCATGACTGTGCATACTAAATGCCACTGCTCAACAGATTACAGTCCTCATGATGACATTGAAAAATACATGTGTGCCACGTCCACTCTTTGAATCCTAAGTAACACATCACATGTAGGTGACCAGTCTGAGAGAAGCCAAATCTACCAGAGTCTTAATATATGAATGCAGCCCACTAAATTTAGCCCGCTCACCGACCATCATGAGTGATGCATTGGATGAGGAAAGGGGGCTGTGCACGATTGGCTGCACACGCGATTTGCTGTATAACCTCAGGGTTGCTGACAGCATTTGGAGCCTCTCAGTCAAACATGACATTCAGACCTGGTTTGTCACCCTGGCAGAGTTGATGTTGCATGCATTTCTCTTTTTATTGCAGGACCTTGTGAGCGTAAAAGGGAACGAGTGGCGATTTATGAGCGACCACTGTTTTTACAAGGTCATGATCACATTTCAGCAGGAGCACATTGCACACACTCACCGTACACTCCTTGGCAACGGATGCCCTCCACGACCAGCGCCAGCAGCCCCAAAACACAGATAATTAGATCCATCCTCTCACGTTAATCTCTGCATATCCAGCTCTCAATGGCAAGAAGTCCTTTCCGGGGCGGTGTGAGTGAGGCGCATAGACACAGCGCTGCTCCGATTCCACGCGTCGATTAATGTTAGTCTTAGCTGTAAAGGTATGTATGGCCCGCACCGCGGGGAGGCAAAGACTCAGGTAGTGATTGTGGTGATGTCCGCTGCCATGTAGTGTGGACGCGGTGCGCTCGCGGCACGGAGACGCCGCGGAAGATGCGGGGAGGCAGGCGGGGAGTGGGCTGCAGAAAGCCCGGCCTTACAACAAGCAGCAACCTCTCCTCGGCTCCAGGTAGGTGCGCTCTGCTGGAACCGCGTGTCCCTGGACTTTAGCGAGGACCCCCGAGGCGCCACACCGAGAGGGCACACTGATGCTGTCGACTGCAGGCGGACGGAGGCTCGGTACCCACGGACATAGCTCCTGAAATCCAGCTGTGGTCACGGCTCGCTCCGCCGCTGCTGCGTTGCCTGCACGCTGTCAGACGAAGCCATCACCTCTGCTTCACACCGAAAACACCGATTCTCACTGCTTGCACCTTCTGGGCGGTCTTCAAGCTGCCGATACTACGGTGGAGGCTCGTGCGCTCACACAGTCACATCACGACTGCACCCCGACGCCGCGCGCTCGACTCATCTCTCCCGGTGGCAATGACAAGGGGAGGGTCCAGTCCAGGCGAGGAGCGGCGGATGGTTCCTCCACAGCACCTCGGCGATGCCTCGGCTGTTGTCTCCGCTGTTATGAGACCACTTTCTAATGAATTCACGCGACGGTGGGAGCCGGATGTGCCCGCCGTGGAGCCAGTTGAGCATCAGTCACGTTGCGCAATACGTGCTACGGAGACCGAGTGGCACCGCAACCGGTCTGTGGCTACGTCAAGAGGTGCGTGGCTTCGAGCGCTCATCTGTATGGGAGGCTTCGCTCAGCGTCAGGAAAGGCATGAGAGGCGCAGCTGCTGGATGCTGTGAGAGAGAGAGGAGGAGGAGGAGGAGGAGGAGAGGGGGAGACGGAGAGGGAGATGGGACCATTGGAATTCAGGAGATCTAGCTTTGACAGACCTTTGCAATCAACGCCGAGCTCTCAGTCTACACTCCTGTCTGCTCATGTTTCACCATTTCACCATGGCCTCCTTTATCAGACAGGGAGGATGAGATGCTGTCTGTCATGTAACATTCATCTGCTACAGCACATTTCTTTGGCGTGAAACACTGAGATGTCTGTGTTAGTCTATCTGAGCGCACACACACACACACACACACACACACACACACACACACACACACTGCTGCTGCTGCCACAGGCGTGTTTTTGGCAACTTTTTAGCAACACATAACTTTTTAAGTTTTGAAGAGGTACTAAGTGGTTCCCAAATGGGGTCCCTGCAGGCCCTCAGGGGTCCTGCTGGCAGCTCCTGGGGGCTCCTGCAAAACGAGGAAACCTGTTTCATTAAATTCAATGTTGCCATATTTAGTGACGGGAAATATCCCCATTAAAAAATGGACTGTGGACCACACGTTTCACCTCCTGCAAGCCCAGTGATTACTGGTCACATGGATCATTTCAAAGTAACAAACATTATACTATAAGCTCATTTAACATTTGCAGGTACCACTAAAAGTTCTTAAAGAAACAGTGTAAGATTTAGTGCCATCTAGTGGTGAGAACTGCAGATTGCAACCAGCTGAATCTTCTCCCAGTTGGAATTCCTTCAGTGTTCTTTGCTCAGGAGGTTTTTATTGGGAGTTGAATTATACGCAGAGGTCTAGTCCTCTCCTAAACAAACTGACAAGGTGATTAAAACCTTTAACAACACTGAATAAAGCAGTTTTACATTACAAATCTGTGGTTCTCCGAGGCCAGTGGTTCCCAGCTGGTGGGTCAGGGACCTTAAGTGACTCACAAACATGTCAAGTTTGTAAAAAACACACTTTATTTTGAATTTAGTGTCATTTCCAGCTACAGAGTGAGTGACTAACAGACAGCTACTCGACAGAGACAGAAAACTAGCTCGACAACATGGCCAGATGTAAGTATGACGCTGAAAATATTAAACTGGACCTTGTGGCTGGACCAGTTGGGAACCACTGCAAGATCCAGACGTTCTGGAGGTTTTTACCATGAGCTGAATTATCCACAGAGGTCTCCTCCCCTCAAAAACAATCGAAGCTGGAGATTTAAACCAGTAAAAATACTGAATGAAGCAGCTTCAGGACCCAACCATTCTTATTTTCAGGTGATTACACACATACTTATTATATGACATTCCATTTCTGCCAGTATATTCCCCTAAATCCTTCACACTGGACCTTTAAGAGAGTCAAAAAACCTTATTTCAAGAAAATAGCACAAGCAAAAAAAGAAGCATGTGTCCGTCCAACCAGATACAAAATTACAGGTGTCCATTTCCGAACAAAAATGTCCTTTTATATTTGTAATTGTGCCATCATTACTTCTGATATGTACACCTGTCTCAGTCTCCAAGTCCCTTGTTTAACAGTGGGGGGTGAGTTTGCAACCAAGAAATACTTTTCATCTTCCTTGCGATTAATAGTGCGCTTAAAACACACAAGTACCCCCCATATCTCTTGGCATACATCCTTACATGTCATACAGTGGATTCAAAGGTAAATCAACATCTATAATATTCTCCCCAAAGTCCCTGCAGTTTTGGACGCTGCCAAAAAAATATGTGTATGATCCACAATCATTTTCAGTATTTCCTGTTGGAAGTGTTTTGTAATATCAGTACTGGTAGGATCTAAAAGCTGGACTATAGCTGTTTCCTAGCAACTCAATTTCCATTAAATGGTATTAATTAGTGTAATATTTTGCCCAATGCAGCAGTAAATGTTATACTTTTGGTACAAATGGGGAAACATTTCAAACACCACAGTTTGAATCCTGATCAAATATACGTTGTAAAACACCAAAGAGCGCACGGTGTGATTCATCAGCAAATCTGGGTTTGCTGTGATGTCAGATAATCGTCTTTTAGGGCCGTGTAGTTTGGTGCAAAGTGACTGTTAATTCAGTATAAGCACTATACATCATAAAAAGTGTGTAAGCTTTACAAGTAACAATATATCCAGATTAGTAGACAGATTGTTTTCTGGTATTTGGACACTCAGGTTGAAGCAGAAGTCTAAAGAGACATCAGCATGAGATCAACCTCTCCCCAAAACTGTAACCCTGTATTGACAAGTCATTTATCTGCTGCTGAGTGTTGAATTTTTTCTTTAAATCAAGTAAAAAAACAAAACAAAAAACTGTTCCGCATGTTGCAACAGATAAGAAAATACTCTGCAAAGTGCAGACGCTGTCCTCAGAGGGCTTCAGCTGCGGATCAGCTGGGGAGGCGACTGCCAGAGCACCACTGGGTGTACTGGCGCCCTCTACAGGACTCCATTAAATGAATCAATGACCATGCAGTCATTTGGGGTTATACCCAGTTTGTGACCAGGCTATAATTTTGATTGCACATGCTCACTGGTTAAAATAGAAATAAAGATGACATAATGATTATTTAATTATCTCCAGAGACTTCCGTCGTTGTATTTCAGCTGAGCTGCCAATATCTGATCCTTAGACGAGGGCCTTATGGCGGAGCAGAGGAGTAAAATAAATTTAGTGGAGTTAATATTTGATATAGGCTATTCTGAATTTAATTTTGGAATCTAAATGATTCATCTTGTCCATCCGTTTTTTATACTGTCACTAGTGTGGTGCCCTTGAAGGCTGCAGTGGTGGAGCAGTGAAGATTTAGGAGCTGTAATTGTTTCAGATGTTATTTTCTGCCAATAACCAGCTTTGTTTTATCTCAGTGGTGCGTGGAGTGGAGAGCTCTATAAGTTTATCATCGCTTTAATTCAGGATGTTTAACCATCTTTTGCTCGCTGTCTTTTCACTCCCTCTCTGTGAGGCTGTGTGCGTGCCTGTGTTTGCAAGCATATTTAAAGTGGGCCTTTCTTTGTAAGATAAATAAAGATCTCCATTCAACAAGGCAGCTAATAGTCTCTGTTCACTTTAGCTTCAGTTTTCTGCAGCTGAGTCCAAATGTCTGCATTATAGCTGCACTTGCAGACTCACAGACTTTGCAGGCACGTCCCTGGGAAGTGTGCGAGTGCTTAAAGCTGTCCAAATGCACAATTTATCCGGTCCACACGGGACTTCCATTGGACTTACTGCAGACTTCTAGAGAGTTTGCTCGGGGTGCAGATTTCACCAGAGTCTTTGGCTGATGGGAAAAGTTTCCCCAAGAGGGCTTCCTGCCAGAATGGGATTTCTTGGTTAAGAAAAAAAAAAATCATGATTTTGGTTGAAATGAGCAAATTTCTGCCTCAGATCTCTCACAAAACTTTTCCTATGTGCGAGTCTTCACTTCACTAATTTAATTACCCACAATGCATTGCAATACAGATGTTACATTGAATCATGTAGGCCAGAAAAAAAATGTTTAACCACATCATAATGTGTGTGTGTGTGTGTGTGTGTGTGTGCTAATGTAAGAAAGTAAAACCTAATTTATTAAGTCATAGTATCCGAATATCTGAATTTAAATGTGTACAGCTTGTATGTTGTAGCCTCTAGAAATAAATCTTATTTTTTCACTCACCAAAAAACGCCTATCAATGGGATCTGCGAGGGGACAAAACCTGTACATGACTATAGTTGTCCTTCAAATGTTTCCACAGCAACGAGTGAAACAGACTTGAGGCCTGCCTGCCAGCAGCTTGCAGTCTCTCGCCCTTGCGAACTTTACATCATGACCGTGAACATGTCCCAATACGTACATCTTAAGTCTGCGAGAGTTCAGTCTGCAAGTCCGTAGGGTGGACATCTGGATTCAGCCTTCGTTACATCTTAGAGGTTGAAGCAAGTTGTGTGATTTATTTTAATTGTCAAAAGTATGTGATTGGGCATTAGTCAAACACCCTGAAAGATATACTGACATTTTTAAAGTAAACAAACACTATTTTAGGTTGTTGTACAACAGACACTACAAAACTTTCCAAAGACTTAAAAGTCAACGTGAGCTTTTACCTACTCAATATTAAATTCTGCAAAGACTGGGGATCTTGCAGGGTCACTATTTTCAAGACAGCAACGAGATTCTTTTGAGATTATTTCCCATCCTGCTCTTGGTGTAAAATATTACGCCAAACTCCCTTTAAGAAGTATGACATATTAACAATTCCTTACATGTCTGCACAAACACATAACTCTAGAAACACAGGATAAAAGGCATCACATGTCGACAGTGTTCTTGTCAATTCGGCATAAGTATGATCATAAAGATAAACTGTATTTGTGTACAAACTTTGTATTTCAGATTGTCGCTTCAACTCACTACCAGCCTCTGCTGGTTAGCTGCACTATTTTAGTAGGTGGAGACGGTGGGAATAATTAAGTGGTGGTTGGTGGATCAGATACACACTGAATGAATTATGGACCCTTGCTTACTCCACAACACCACAAGTTTCTCCTCATTTTCCACAGAACAAGAGAACCAAGACTAATTCACGGTGTTGCGCCTCCTTTGTTTACTGTCTGAACATGTTTGATTTTATCGGGAGACGAGAAAGACTGACCTAAGACAGCTCAGATTGAGTTTTACAACACCTTACACCAAACAATCGAGATGACAGAGGTGCATCAACAGAGGTAAAACTCAAGATTTTATTCTGCCATAGTAAATTTGTCTTCGACAGTGAAATCGCAAATTAAAAAGTCATTTGGTGTGAGGCCGGCATCAGCTGAATGCCTTGACAAGCATAAAAAATAGTGTTTTGTCATATGGAGATGCGTGTGCGGTCGCTTATCCTCCACCTGTCTGCTGCTAATCATTATGTTTATTACTCTACGTTTGCAACACCCATCCAATATGGACCGGA